ATCCTTTTCATGTACTGGTATAAAAAGGATATTTAGTTGTTAAAGTGATCATTCCAATGTTTGACCTATGCAATAATCTCCCTTTTTTGTCATGTTTAATACACAACATCTTCTTTAGTTATGTGATTTTCGGATGGATAATTTCATGTTGGAAATATGTTTCAACTTCCTTATTGTCACAATAGCGGACACCATAAATGAAGCAGACGCTTGCAAATTCATAACATCCCTGGATGTGTTGATTGCACTTATTTGGAATTGAAACGGCTGCATATTGTTTTTAATGGCACTCAACTGATTGGAATACATTACCAGAAGAGCAATTGAACTAGCATTCAGAATAACAAATCTTGGTAGAAAACAAGACGGCATCAGTATTACTAACAACACAAATTGTGAGCAACGGAATAAATAGGATATGGATGAAATAATAGGATAATGATTGATAATAGAATAAATGGTATGCCCAGAATAATTGAATAAATGAGATAATTGAGATCAATTGAATAATGTAATAAGATAATTGATATCAATGTAATACATATTCTGAATGGATCAACGGAATAATAGGATAGCAGTCGAGGCAAATACATGGGATAAATAATATTTATGGAATATTATAGAATAATAGATAAAAGAAATCTTAGATCATTGAATAAATAGAATATGGAAAAGAAAAAAGTTGTATTTGAAGTGGGATAATGTGATCGGTAGACTAAACAAAAATATGAAATAAGAAACAATTAAAATCAATGGAATAGATGTACTGTGAATACGTAATGGTATATAATTATAGTTTTTTTTGCCCTTTGCTTTTCTCTTGCATGTTGAGGACAGACAAGAGTAGATGGCGCCGGTTCACCCAGTAGCTCAGACATGAAGAGACCCTTAGGGGAGAAGAAAGTTACTGTATGAGCTAGTCCACGCTTTGAGTGGTTTGTAAAGCGCTATATAAATCCAACCATTATTATTCTTACTTCCTTTTTTATTTTCAAGTCTCATCTCTCTTTATTTATTTGCGCTATATAAGAAAACCCAAATGTAATTTATTTATTATGGACATGTTAATAATTAAAGATAATAATGAAACTTGAATCTTAAATTAATCAGATAAATAAGATCAATAAAATAAATAACACATGATAAAACCTGTGTAATAATTTTTATATTCATCTTTAAATTAAAAACCAGAGCCTTGCAGGCGTCAACGTTCCTATGCATGATACACGACTTTTAGAAGTATATATACGTGTGAATATATATATATATATATATATACACATATACGTATATATATTCATATATATATATTTATACATATATATATATTTATATATATATATATATATATTTA